GCCTGTGGTAAGGCAGGCCCAAAGTATGGGTGGAGTGTGTGACTGAGAAAAACCATTTACCTTGTGGCCAGGAAGCAAAAGAGAGATGAAGAGGAAGGGACCAGGGTCCCATTATCTTCTTTAGGGGCATGAGCTCAATGACCTAAGGACATCTCACTAGGCTCTACCTCTTAAAGATACTACCACTTCAGTAGCGCCACCTTGGGGACCAAGCTTTTACTACAAGGGCCTCTGGAGGACGTTCAAGATCCAAACTATGGCACAATACAAATGGAATCATCTAGTAAAATATACAACCTTCTGGGACTGAATCTTGTTTATGTGCGTGTCACTCAGCGTAATTCCCTTGAGATTTATCCAAATTGTTGTACGTATCAATAATTTCTTTCTGTTGTTGAGCAGCATTCCACGGCATGGTGTGGTTTAAGTCTTCACTCACTGGAGGACATTGGGGCTAGCTCCAGTTTGGGGCTTTCATGGAAATAGCTGTGAAGAACTGTGGTGTACAGGTTTTGTGTGAACATGCATTTTCATCTCTTCAGGATAAATGCCCAGGGGCACAGTTGCTGGGTCGTATGGTAATTGCACACTTGATTTTTAAAGAAGCCAAACTGTTTTCCCAAGTGGCCGGACCATTTTACAATCCCCTCAGGAATGTGTGAGGGATCCAGTTTCTCTATCTCCTTACCTGCATTTGTGCATTATTCTTTATTTCAGTCAATCTGCTAAGTGTGTATGATATCTTGATGGCTTAAATTTGCACTTCCTTAGACATTAGTGTTATCGAAGGGCTTTTCACGTTCTTATTTGCCATTTATATATCTTCTTTGCCGTCATGTTTGTTTGTCTACTTTGTAAATATTTTCTCCTTCTTTGTTTTTGCTTTTTGCTGTGCTGGAGATGGAACCCAGAGCCTCATACGTGCTTTTCTGTTTTATCATCTTTTAAATGGAGTCTTTCACAGAGCATAAGCAAGTTTTGCTTTCCTAGATTATGCTTTTGGTCTCAAGCCTAAAGACTCTTTACCCAACTCTAGGTTGTGAAGATTTTCTCTTGCATTTTTTTAAAAAATGTTTTACCATTGTGCACCAGTCCATGATACATTTTGAGTTAATTTCTGCATGCCAAGTTATTTTTCTCTACCCTGTGAATGTCCAATTGCTCCAGAGCTGTTTGTTAAAGAGGCTATCTTCCTCTGTTGAATTGCTTTTGCACCTGTTTCAAAAATCACTCATGCATATTTTGTGCAGGTCTATTTCTGGATTCTCCATTATGTTCTAGGGATCTGTGTGTCTGTTCCTCCATCAGTACCATCCAGTCTTGATTACGGTAGCTGTGTATTTTGATATCATATCTTAAAATTGGGCAGACTGATTCCTCCCACTTCATTCTTTCCTTTCAAAATTGTTTGAGTTATTTCAGTTTCTTTGCCTTTCCATATAAATTTTAAAATAAGGTTGTCTATATTTATTAAAAGTTTGCTTGAATTTTTGATAGACTTATATTCAACCTGTATATACATACAGTGGAGGGATAATTAACATTTTTCCTCTGTTGAGTCTCCCAAACCACGAACACAGTATGTCTCTCGGTTTATTTAGATCTTTGGTTTCTTTCAACAGTG